TTTCATACTTAACACTAAACCCACCGCGGTCAAAGTGACCGCTTTCTTATTTTGCAATTATGAAAAGATAACTCCGAGACTCTTCCGTGGAAAACGCTTGAATAAGTTATATTATTGGAGCAAGTTTTATAATAAAAACTTTACAAATTCCAAATAAATTCGGTCTTCTCACTTTTGTGAAGCAGTACATGCAATTAGTATTACTGCTTGGTAGGTTTAGTATTAATGACCTAATATGTACTTGTGAGTGTATTGCAAGTTTGCAATGATACAGTCTTGGATGAGTCGCTAGCTCGAAGCTCGCGACTTGGGAAAGTGATCATCGAGGAGGAATCCGAAGGTTGCCAGAGCGACGATCAATGATAACTTACGGTTCGGCCATTTTTCACGGGAAATCAAAACGAGGAAACACCGTGGCTCGATCATCGATAATTGATCGTGAACTTGGATCGATCGAGGATCGACGCCGCTCGAGAGACCGTTCGAACACAATAGCGTATCCTCGACGAGAGCCGAGAGCGGAGGATGGGGCCTCATTAGGAGCAATTTAGCGAAAGATCTAAAAATAGGCCTTTCGAATTAAGGCTGGGGTCGTGGTAGACGCGCCGAATAAACGCGAATGGGATTAGACACCGAAGGGGAACAAGTGGCGAACAAGCAGGTTTCATTACAAACACCTTGAACCGATTTCTGCAGACGTTGTTCAGTGCCAGATACAGACTGCGCTTCATAAATTATTCATTCCAAGAAACCAGTACGATTTCGGGTAATTCAATCAAGATATCCATCTAGTTCCCCAACAGGCCCTTCTCATTCGAATCGCTTTTATTAATAATTTACCCATCGGAAGCCTATAAAAAGAAGTTGTCAGATCGCGTCAACGAGGGTGACCCGTTGAAAAAATCGATATTGAGAATTCGAAGATATATTTGCGGTTTAATTATGTCTATATGTACTTGTAAAGTTCTCTTATTATTAGTTTCTTTATAATTGCACATTCGACATAAGTGTTAATACTTAGTCAACCGAACGGGGAGATCTCCCCGTTTTAAAATCAGTCGGTTGACGACCGAATGGATGATTAATGAAAAATTAAAAATGATTGCTTAATATTATTAAGATTTGCAAGAGGTACGAATGCTGAAGAAGTAATCGATACCATATAAGTTTGCTTCATAATTTTATGAAAATTTGTTGAGGTTTCTAGCGCGGTCGTGGAAGTGTTAATTTCGTTATTCTTTATAGCGTGTTTTCAACGTTCACACGGTGTGTACACTGTAACTGCAATAATAAACCAGGAACCGAATACTTGGCAACCCTGGCTAGCACATTAACCCTTGCCATTTGAATGACAGGTAATTTTGACCCACAAGCTACTGCCAGTATTATTATAGAATTGACTCCTATCATTGCAATTGCGAGCCATCCTAACAAATAAGAAAAATTATCTTTTGCATCTGCTACGATAAATTGTATATTACAGTACACTTTGTTGTACGAAAAGCCATTGAATCATTTCTGAACTACTATTTCTTTACCTCTAATTGTTTTCTGAATAACATCTCTAGAGGTTTCATTGTTATTTTTACCAAGATCAATTTTAGACTTAGATTTCTGCTCATATTATAACTGGATTTTTATAATAATAATATTATATATATATAATTTATATATTATTAATATTATATATATATATTTGATTATTATAATAATAATAATAGACTGGATTTTTATACAATCGAATGAAACTAGATTGCCTCTTTTAACAGTTTTAATAAATCAAAAGCAGCGTGACAATATCTTTATATTATATATTTATCTTTTCAATTTTAAATTATTGAAATTATGAAGACTCTTTTATAGGGAAAATATTCAGGAAAATTTCTTAGTTCAAGCATACTATAGTAAGATATGTATATTCAGTCTTGTCATATTCTTATGAAGCAACACGCGGCAATCACTTTTAATGCTCGGTAGGTTCAGTCTTCTAACGTGTTTACAGTATTGCATTTCATCTATGTGCATATTTCATCGTCACGCATGCATTAAATCCGCGCTCCAGTCACAACAAAGTGTTCAAAGAATAGCTTCAATAAAGACCGAATAGAGAATGTTTGTAATAATACTCTCGATTTTTGTACAAATAGTTTCGCAACACACCGACCTATCCAACAAATATTCGAATTTCAACGACGTTCTGAGAACATTTGAGGTACAGCAGATAAAATTCCAGGTATCGGCAGATACCGCAGGAATTCAGCAAACTTGAAGACCAACCTGTGCCTGAATCGTATCTGCATCGATCAACAATCCGGCGGCGATAAGCGCGTCGTCCGCGCGAGATAATGATTCCCGTCGCATTATCTGGCCGGCACTTGGCCAAGCGTAAACATGGAAACGCGGGTATAGCATAGAGGAGGGGATGGTAACGAGAGAGGAAATGATCGCTCCCATGTGTATACACGTTTCATACGCCATTCATAACGCGTTCTGCCACCTGCGCTACGTCGTGACGGTAGTACCGTATGATCATCCCCGGTCTCGACCTCCGTGTGAGGTTATGTAACTCGAACGGGTACGCTAACCTCTCTTCCTTCTCGCATGCGGCGCAGCGGAAAGTCGGCTCCTCGGATTAGGCTAGGTTACGTGCCACAGCGGAACAATTAGAAACTGTTGCTTCGCCGCCGAGGAACGTAACGGGGTCGATAGCCGTGCTTCGTCGATCGTCAAGGGCTCGCCATGGATTTAAATTGCATTACCGTTACTCGAACATCCATATGGAAATTTAAATACGCGAACTATAATCTCCCGTCCGACCTAGCCTCACCGTTCGCGAATCTCTTCAACCCTTACATAAGCTATCGTGCACATCTCTAGAATTTAGCAATTTCTGACTTCGAGGATTCCTGTTCCTTATATTGTACCCTGTCACGTCGGTTCACACTTTCAAACGTTCAGTTACGTTTCGCGAATAGAACAATTGTTTAAAAATACCGCCACCGAACCCACGAACTCGTAGGCGTCCTGCTTGTATTCGAATTTCGGGGTGCGAACTGTAACTCCATCTGGCCAAATAACAAGTTCCGTTCGGTAAATATGTATACATTTTATCTAACTACACTTGTTCGAACCTCTATTTGGAAGTCGAGAACTACGAATGTAAACACAGGCGGTGCATCGCGAGCCCCGTGAATCTAGCATCGCTCTCGTGTTTCATAAATGAAACCGATCGTAGCTCGTTAGAGCCTCTGCTAACCTCTACGTTTTGCGCAACCCTGTGATTCACCAGTGATATTTTGTTTCAAGACGCGCGAATGTAAACAGACAAGATTATCTTTGTCACGATCGAGAGCCTTACGGCTTACGACGAACGATTCCCTTCTTTTTTTCACTGTACATCTTATATAATATCGATCATCGGATGCGGGAGAACGACGACGAAGAGATCGTTGGTATCACTGTACAAATCTCGGTGCCCGATCCAGCAAGAAGCTGCGTCTTTTACCATTGACAGATGCGGGTCGAAAAACGCGTAGGGTACTCGAGAGATAGTCAAAGATAGAGTTTCAGTGTTCTCAGATACGAGATAATAGGTGAGAGAGAACGGATGTTCGACGGGATCGTCCGATTCTCGTCGGGAGAAAGGTGACTTCGTTTTGTTTACGGCGTGTGTACAATAGAAAAGGAGAAAGAGCGCGTGCGCTCTGACAGGGAGAACCCAGACTTTGGCCAGGATAGCTGTATACGTCGGGGATGGTTGATGTTTAAACGAATAGCTTGACAATGCTCTTACCCGTTGCGCAGAACTGGTCCACCTGGTGAGCACCGGAATTCACTCCCGCACCACCCAGACCGTCCAAATCCTGCCACATTTCCGAAAACTCGCACTTTCCGGGCACACGCACGCACAGAATCACCCACCTTCACTCAAGCGGCGCCATTTTCACTGTGTACTGACCATTCGCTGCGTAAACGACTCGTGCGCCACCGTCGGCATAGTAATTCGGCCGTTAACTAACGGTGCCTCTATGGTGGCGCCATTCTAACCGAATTAGACCCTCCAATTACCGACGATCCATACACTAACTTCTTATTTTGTCGATCATGGAAAATATTTACCATTCGAGCGAACTACGCGTACCCTTACCATTTCAGTGTCACGCTCAACGTTACCGATCGTTTATGAATTTAGGGACGGTAGCAAAAAAATGAACACCGTATACCTATACTTAATTTTCTACTACGAGTGCTGAATATTATTTGGAGACACTTGTCCATAAAACAATGAAGCATACCATAATTAGTAACGCATGGACATTATGCCCTGGACAGATGTACGCATGGAAGCTAGGTATTCGCTTAACTACCTTACTTATCGGCTGCAGGGTAATTACGAAGTGCTGGCTACTATATTGGCACAAATTTGAAAATATACACACATTAGCGATCTAATGTCACATAACTATACAGGGTGTTTCAAAATTATGGTATTTCTGGGAAATGAGGAATTCCTGAGGTCATACGAAGTAACTTTTTCTTTAGCGTAAATGCAATCTGCCGTTTCGTTTACGAGTTATCAACGAGAAACCGTAACCAATGAGGAGCGAAATCAGCTGGCTCGGCTGCCTTGCGTCAGCCGAGCTCGCCTCTCGTTAGTCAGTGTTTTTCGTTAATAACTCGTAAACAAAGTTGCGGATTGCATTTTCGCTAAGGAAAAAGTTACTTCAAATAACTTCAGTCCACTGTTACACAAGCTATCCGTGTCAATTTACTTATTTAATAAATTTGTGAGAAAGTTTTCTACCGGTGAGTAGCAAATCACTGGAAACTCTCTGATGAGAATAGAGGAAAATACTAGTTTACAAACCGATTAATTGACAAACTGACAAATTCAAGTCGCAGAACAATGGACAAAGAATAGTAGGAATTCAAATTTCAAACATGAGCGACTAAGATGTCGCTGCGTTCTACCAATTGATTTTCCTTTCTATGTATCTAACAGTACGTGTGTTGAGGTTAGTAGATTGATATTGAACGTCGTGTATTCCACCCATCCATCGTCTGCTCAGATTTTCGAATACTTCGATTCTCTTGAAGTCAAGGAAGGTTTGCAACATGTTTCGACATCTTTTGAGGCCTGTTCGTCAAATTACTCGTCCAGGTACGTCAGTAAATTTTATATTCCTCGATATTATCATATTGAAGATAGTTTTCATTTTAAAGCTCTTACATAATATTGGTAACTGTTATTTTTGTAACTTTTATATTTTGACAAATTAATTAAAATTATACATTTAATATATGTAATATATATAATATCTCTAAAAATAAAAGATGTTAATTTATTTTTTGTTAAATTTACACATGCGACTTTTCGTTGTACTTACTTTTAAATGGTAGTTACATTATTTTTGAAATATTTTTTTTTTAAAAAGTTAATATGATTAATTGTTCAATGTAATACATAAAAGAACAAGCTTAGATTTAATGAATTTCTATATTAATACATCTAACAATATTTTTCTATAGTATTAGTTATAAAAGTAAAATAATAATTTTTAAAATATAAAAGGTACTCGGTCGATGCAAATTCCTAATGATGTGAGACCACCACATATGGATGAATTGCTGGTACCACAAGGTTGTTGGAAGACAGCGTATGAGAAAAATCAGAGGAGATATAACATGCACTTAGCTGCTGGTGTTATTGGACTCATTGGTACTATTGCAATAGTATGTATTAATACAATATAATTATTTATCTATGTTTTATGAAAATATAAATTTATAATAATATTTAAACTTTTAGGGTAGAACCACTGGATGGCTCTGGCTGAATTATTCGGCACCAGTTCCAAAATAATGATTCGTATTATTTTTTAAAAAATACAGTAGATGTATGTATAAGATGTTGTAGAACATGGCGAATACTGTAACTTGTAATTATTCAATTTGAATGAATAATATAATACTTTATTCACAATAAATAAATTTATTAATATAAATAGATTTATAATAATAATTTATAAAATAATCAATAAATAGATTTATAATATTACTTTTAATTTGTTTTTATACATATCGCATAAGAAAAAAACAATTTTTAGTCACATCTCAAAGTTATTTAGACAATATTGTGAACATGATTTTTATTAATTTTGAAAAATACAGACTTCTCGATCAGCCAAAGTATTACACAAAGAATTCTATGATTAGCAAGCTATTAAATATCTAGCAGATAGCCAACCTGCTGTAGTCATTCTTTACTTTGACACAATTTCCCAACAGAAAT